GAAAACGTTGAACTGTAAATTCTGAAATTCATGCTGACTCAATGCCAGTGTTTGAAATACAAAGTATTCTATGCAAAAGGTCTTTCGATGCAGGGATATGCATATACATACGTTTATAGGCAAAAGATGACCTTTCGTCCAAAAGAACTCTTAGTGCTTAATATCGCATGTGTTGTATTTGAACACAGCACTAGAAGGTCCACATCTTTGCAATGAACTTAGGGTCTCGTTAACGAAGACCTTCGGAATGAATCCTTTTGAAGCTTCTGAAGCCTAGCATCAATTGGTGAGTATGATTTTTGCGATTGTGATGGTCTATGTTATGAATAGGCAATTGCCAGACGCATTACCTGGCGAACTGCAGAAATTTATGCCATTCACTTCGACGATTGAATCATAAACCGATGGGTGGACTGTGACAAAATGAGTGTGCTGCTTTTTTGTCGTTACCTTTGGAATACAAACCGGCTGAGGTGCATTTTCTACATCTAGTTCAATTTGGTTATTAGACTTCCCGCGTTCTGCACCTCTTTCGTTCTCAAACCATATTCTCGCACCCCATATCATAAATCATCAAAGTACGATCAGTACTTTTTGAGTGCCATCCCTCTTCACTGGTCACTAAAACCGTAACGAGCATAATAGTCATTCCTTATGTGCTTCTTTAAACATCACTAGGGTTATTAAAATGGCAGCAAATTAAATTTCTCATGAAAACATTCATAATCAGACTATATGTGGCAAAATTTGCTTTGTTTACTTTGATAAACTTTACTATGATAATAATGGCAGAATATTAGAAACATATACATAAACAAATACAAACACAAAATGGAACACAGGTAAAATAATTTCTAACTTTTTTCAGCGGAGCCTAATCTGCCGTTGGTTTCGCGTTGGAGGAGGTACTCCTTATTCGAGGAACATACTTTTGATGTTTATACGGTGGAATATGAAGAATATCATCCGAAACATCGTTTGTCATGAGCGCGAGGTCAGTCCAGCGCACGAGACGATGCAAAAGCACCTCGCGCTGCAGGTGCTCAATTACCATACAGTCCTGGTTTGTTTAAATTCCCCCTCCCCATCGCTGGCAAGTACGAGCAATGGGTCAATGCAATACCTCGTGAAATCTGGTCTTGAAGGAGTAATGCATTGTCTTCAACACATGCGACAAATACAAATGTCGTCTCCCGCATCTGGCCTACATTATATCGTTGAATTTGCAAAGTCGGTGCTGCCCAAAAGAGGCTACGAGTGCAATTTTTCACTGCGTTCGCTGAAACTGCGCCTCAAGCACTCATTCGCAGTGTCTTCCCGTAGTCTAGTAGTTGAATCGTCATTTCTTTCTCATATGGTAGGTGGCACAGCAAAACGAATTCGTTATGCCGTGGTCAAACATTGTTGACTTTACCGTTCATACTCTCTCCCCCCCCCAAAAAAAAAACTAGAAAATTGCTTTCAACTTCTTACCGATTTCCAGCACTGAC